GAACAACAAGGAAGAGGAGGGGGAGGAGAGGCGGAGGATGAGGTGCTGGGAGGAGGACGAGTATGTGGAGAAGGAGGAGGAAGAGGAGGAGGAGGAAGAGGAGGAGGAGGAGGAGGAGGAGGAGCAGGAGCAGGATCAGTAGGAGGAGGAGGAGGAGGAGGAGGAGGAGGAGGAGGAGGAGGAGGAGGAAAGGCCATGTGCTGGATCCATCACCCGCACTAGCCTACGCGCGCGCCGCGCGCCCAGGGGCCCAGCTTCAGCCCCCCAGTTGCGGCCGCGGTCAAGGGGGAACCGCCATTGCAAGAAGGTGGTCAGCCGCGACTACAACATCATCCACCAGTTGTCAAACTACAAAGCTACGTGGCTGACCCACTTTTGTCGGGACGTGCACGCCATAATGGCGAGACTTTACACCCATAGAGGAACATGTTCGCGAATAGACGCGGTCCCAAAACGAGTAGGGTACAATGTCCAGCGTGGGATACAGCTTCGACCCGACGACATCATTATCATTGCTACGACCGCCCCGGCGAGAGCGTCTAAGAACTGTGTAACTGGCAGCCCCAACGCGAGAACGAGGTGCGTAACAGGCAGCCCAAGTAAGAGATCGAGTTGCGTTACAGGCAGCCCAAGGACGACCGCCGCCATTACCACGCCAAGGACGCCACCAAGACCGAAACCAGGAACGACGCAACCGCGCTCCCCGAAGGGGTTACTAACTTCGTCGTCGTAGAGGTACCGATGGACAACGGCCGCGCCACCGACGACGGCTGCGATGACGGCCGTGCCATCTACTACGAGTACGATTGCGGCAGCTTCTCCGATGGCGAACTGTATTCCTATGACCCCCAGGATTATTCTGGCATCCAGCCGACGACACCGATTTGATCTCGGGGGCTGGAAGAGAGCGTGCCTTTTGAGCTAGTACAGCCTCCAGCGGAGCTACCAGGGCAACCAGACGACCGTCGGGGACAAGGGACTGAATTACGAGGATTACACGCACAGATTCGAGGGCCACCGCGAGCGCTTCAAGACCCACCTGCCGAGCAGAGCCACGTGAGCCGCGAGCAGGGCCACGAGGCCCACCAGCTGAGCCTCCAGCAGAGCCACGTGGATTACTGGGAGAGCTACTGGAACCACCAGCGCAGCGACGAGAGCCTCCCGAGCCACGACGTCCATTTGGAAAGCCACGAGGGCCCTGAGCCTCGAGGGCAACGAGCAGAGCGACTACATCCACCAGCAGCGCTACCGGGGCCACCGGCGGCCCTTCGACGGCCACAAATTGAGCCACGAGGACCACGGGCACAGCTATGAGAGCCACCAGAAGAGCTGACGAGCTACGAGAGCCACCAGCAGAGCCACGAGAACACGAGAACCACTTGCTGAGCCACGGGGTTCGCAAGCTGACCTACGTGAGCCACGAGCAGGACTTCGAGGACCAGCAGCTGATCCACGAAGGCCATCTGCTGCTCTGCGAGGGCCACCAGCTGAGCTATGAACGCCGCCAGCTGAGCCACCAGAGGCACCAGCTGGGCTTCGAGGCCAATAAACATAACTACGAGGACCACAAGCACAGCTACTACTGCCACCAGAAGAGCTACGAGGGTCCCCAGCACAACAAGCTGAGCTACGAGGCCCAGAGGAACAGCTGCGACACCCACCTGCACAGCCACAAGGACTGCGAGCTGAGCTACGAGGATCACAGGCACAGCTTCGAGAGCTACCAGGGCCACCTGTTGAGCTGCGAGGTCCACAGGCTGGGCTGAGAGCCACGCACATGGCTACGAGGACAACTGGCTGAGTTACGAGGGCCACAAGCTGAGCAGCGAGGGCCTCGAGAAGAATTTGAGTGCTACCAGCTGAACTACAAGAGCCACGTGCAGAGCCTCGAGTGCTTCCAGCAGAGCTGCGAGAACCACCTGCTGAGCCTCGATGCCAGCAAACTGAGCAACTGAGCTCCTAGTGCCACCTGTTGCGTTACGCGTGCTACCAGCGGAGCTATGAGGGCCACAGGCTGAGCTGCGAGATTCACCAGCGGGGCTACCAGGGCCACCTCCTGAGCTACGAGAGCCACCAGCGGAACCACGGGGGCCACAGGCTGATCGACAAGAGCCTCCAGCAGAGCTGCTGGGGCCACCAACTGAACAACGAGCACTACAAGCTGGGCGACAAGAACCACTCTCAGAGCTACGAGGACCACTGGGCTAAGCTATGAGTACCTCCTGCTGAGCTCGAGTGGGCCGGCCACGACTGGATCTACAGTCTCAGCCACAGGTCTTGGCTCAAGAACTACGGCTTGCAGGGGGAGTTCACGGAAGCGCATCTCCAGGAGCTACTGGAGCAGAAGTGGCAAAACGTGAAGAGTACAATAAGCGCGGGCCCATTCCAGAACATCAGCGAATTAATTTGGGACGCGGCTATTGGCAAGCTCGGCGACGACGAGGGGGAAGGGTACCGCCGCAGTCGGGGGCCCAAGGAGCGACCAATCACCATGGCTGATATAGTCGAGGCGAAGCTCGGTAAGAAGTACGTCGGCTGCGCCGTAATACAGATCGACGCCCCGCAGACTACGGTTCGGCGGGAGGACGGCAGAGAGTCCACGGTAAGCAGAGCTACAATCCGGCGGAAGCCGCAGCGGTGAAGCCATGTGTACAACATGCTGTCGGCATAACAGCACTGGCTGGCTCACCGTTGCGGACAAGGGTACTGCAACCACGACACTTCTGACAATATACCACGTCTACATCAAGTAATTCATGGGCGGCCCGTCCGTTGCTTCTCCTTCCCCTCCTCCTCTTAGGCTGCAAGATGTGCAGCAGAGAGTGTTGGTGGCCTCTCCCCCTTCCTCTCCGTCTCCGGAAAGGGTCGCCCGGTGGCGTGCGGGGGGCCCGCGCTCGCGCTGGGCTGGCCGCCCGCCGAGCCGGGGGGCCGCGGGCGCGCGAGAGCGGCAGGGGGCGCCTGATGACTCTGCGCAACTAAGGAGGATGGGGAGGAGGAGGAGGAGGAGGAGGAGGAGGAGGAGGAGGAGGAGGAGGGGATGACCAGGATCACGGATGAGCAAGGAGAAAAAGAGGAAGAGGATGAGGATCAGCAAGGAAGATGACGAGGATCATCAGCAGCAGCAGGAACAAGAGCAGGAGTAGCGGGAGGAGCAGGACAACCCGTGGAAGGCGGACGAGGGGGAAGGAGCGAAGTTGCTGGGCGACAACGACGATGGATGGTCAAATCCAGAGTTGTGGCTGGCGCTTGGGCGCGAGAGCCGTGTTGAACGACGGGAGCAACGCGTCGATCCTAAAACGAAGCCAGCGCTGCAGCGGGATCGCCATCTCGAAAGTTTGGAACGCTACGAGTGGAGCAAAGGTTCATTGAAAACCATTTTTAGAAATCCCATACGTTAGGGAACATAATGCGGTAGAAAACGGGCCCCGTTCGGACAGGATCCAAGGAGAGGAGACTAGTATTCATATTGAGTACTTGTCGAGGGGGAGGAGGAACATGAGGATGCAGTACCTTCCTCCCGTCCTCCTCCCGTCCTCCTCCTCCTCCTCCTCCTCCTCCTATCCTCCTCCTCCTCTTCCTTCCCTTTCACCTTTCCCCTACCCCTTCCCCCGCCTTCACATTTTCTTCCCTCTGCCCAATGGCTTTCTCTCTGCTCCCCTTGGTGTCGTCGTCGTCGTCGTCGTCGTCGTCGTCGTCGTCGTCGTCATCAATCGTCGTCAATCGTCGTCGTCGTCGTCGTCGTCGTCGTCGTCGTCGTCGTCGTCGTCGTCGTCTCGATGTCATAATCCTCGTCGTGTCGGCAGCGTCGTCGTTTTCTCGTCGTCGTCTTCTTCTTCTTCGCCGTCGTCCTCGGCCGTCGCCGTGAGAAGTGGCCATCCTCGCCGCCGCCGCCCCTCGCTGCCGTGGCTGTCGGTGCCGTCGCCGCCGCCGCCCGTTGCCATTGGCGGCGGCGGCCGACCGCCGAGGCCAAGGCAGCGGCGCCGGCGCCCCCGAAAGGCCCGCCGCCGCGTCACCTGTTGCAGGGGCAGATAGCCAAGGCACGGCCCTCTACCTGGGAGGGGGGCGCGGCGTGGAGGAAGAGGAGGAAGAAAACCAGGGCAAACCCAAGACACATCAATGATGTTGCGATAAACTCCCCCTCCGTTTTTCCCAAGCATCCTGTGGTGTTGGGTCCTCGTTTTGGAGAGAGCGCCCTGCGTCACCTCCCGCCCTCCTCCCCCTCCTCCCTCCTCCCCCTCTTTGCCTCTGCCCTCCTCATGTTTCTGTTTCGGCACGCCTCTCACACGCTTCGTGGCCCCATAGGGAGCTCCACCGAAGGCCCCAGTGGCTGCGCTCGCATGACACCACCGCACCCACCGCATGGCCCAAAAGGGAACTCCACCGAAAATCCCAGTGGCTGCGTTCGCATGACGCCACCGCGCCCATTTCGCAACGCCACTCACACGTTTCGTGGCCCCATCGGGAGCTCCACCGAAGGCCCCAGTGGCTGCGCTCGCATGGCACCACCGCGCCCATTTCGGCACGCCTCTCACACGCTTCGTGGCCCCATGGGGAGCTCCACCGAAGGCCACAGTGGCTGCGCTCGCATCGACACACCCGTTCACACGCTTCGTGGCCCCATAGGGAGCTCCACCGAAGGCCCCAGTGGCTGCGCTCGCATGACACCACCGCACCCACCGCATGGCCCAAAAGGGAACTCCACCGAAAATCCCAGTGGCTGCGTTCGCATGACGCCACCGCGCCCATTTCGCAACGCCACTCACACGTTTCGTGGCCCCATCGGGAGCTCCACCGAAGGCCCCAGTGGCTGCGCTCGCATGACACCACCGCACCCATGTCGGCACACCCCTCACACGTTCCGTGCCCCCCATACGGAGCTCCACCGAAGACGATACCAACAATTGCGTTATTCACAACTGCATATGTTTGGGTCCTTCTCCAGGATAATTTTCTTTTGATCCTTGCAGCGTTTTTTGTTTTTTTTTGTTTTCGTTTTTTTTTGTTTTTTTTTGTTTTTTTTTTTGTGTGTGTGTATGTTTTTTTTTTTTTTTTTTTTGTTTTCTCGTTTTTTCGATTCTGGAATCGTGCCAGAACGTACTTCTTAGGATATTAGCGCCGCGAATCAGCGTGACTGTTGCTTCTGGCAATCCTAAATCGTGCCAGAACATCGTCCTTGCGAGTTCAACGCTGCGAACCAACGTGACTGTTGCATCTTGACAACTCTGAATCGTGCCAGAACGCCGTTCCCGGGACTTCAACCATACGAATCCTTGAATATGTGTGTATCTTTCAAGACGAATGTGTGCAGCGCGCATGCGAGAGCCACACTTTGAGAAAAGGACTTGCCAAACACCCGTGGAACTTTCAAGATGAATGTGCTCCGGGTTATGGCGAGAGCCACATTTTGAAAATGACCCGCCCACCAGGTGTGGAACTGTTGCTAACTTTAAGGCGAAAGTGCGGGACTCTAAGGCGACAGCTACACAACGAAAACCACCCGACCTCCCTTCGTGAAGCTGTTGCGGATTTTTTAGGCGGATGTGCGTGGGCACAGGTGATAACTGCATTTCGGAAACCACCAGCCCTCCACCCGTGAAGCTGCTGCAAACTTTATACACGAACGTGCGCTAACCACATTTCGAAAACCACCCGCCCTCTCTCCGTGAAACAGCTTCAGGGTTGTAGGCGGTGGGGGAATCTCCGGAAACCCCGCGGGTCGTCGGTCGTCGTATTCGTCGTCGTCGTCAATCTTCGTCGTCGTCGTCGTCGTTGTCGTCGTCGTCGTCACCGTCAATCGGCCATCGTTGTCTTTGTCGTCTTCGTCGTTTTTCTTGTCTTTGTCGTCGCCGCCGTCGTCGTCGTTGTCGTCATCGTCGTCAACCGTCGTCAATCGTCTTTGTCGTCGTCGTCTTTGTCGTTGTCGTCGTCGTCGCCCTCGTTGTCAATCGTCGTCGTCGTATTCCTCGTCGTCGTCGTCGTCGTGGTCGTAATTCCCCACATGCTTAGTGGGGTTCTGGTTTTCTTCCCTGCCTCGTCGCACCCGCGGCTCTCACACCCCACTTTCCTCGTCCCTCTCCTTTCAAACAGTACATCACAGCGCAGCACAGCGCAGCACAGCGCAGCACAGCACAGCACAGCGCAGCACAGCACAGCACAGCACACAATACACATAGACACACACACACACAACTCACGCAACGCACACACACACACATCACAACACACAGCGCACACACACAAGCAGCGCAGCACATCAGATCACAGCTCAGCACAGCACAGCACACAAGCACACATCACAACACACAGAGCACACACAAGCAGCGCAGCACAGCACAGCACAGCACAGCACAGCACAGCACAGCACAGCACAGCACAGCACAGCACAGCACAGCACAGCACAGCACAGCACAGCACAGCACAGCACAGCACAGCACAGCGCTGGCGTGGCAATTTCTCGACACCAGAGGGGGTGCGCAGGGGGTGGTCTCTCACCGCGGCCGCTATCCACGACAATGTCGAAAAGCCTAGCACGCGCGGCAATTTCCCGACACCAGAGGGGGTGCGCAGATGTCGAAAAGCCTGGCAGGCGCGGCAATTTCTCGACACCAGAGGGGGTGTGCAGGGGGTGGTCTCTCACCGCGGCCGCTATCCACGAGAATGTCGAAAAAACCTAGCAGGCGCGGCAATTTCTCGACACCAGAGGGGGTGCGCAGGGGATGGTCTCTCACCGCGGCCGCTATCCACGACAATCTCGAAGAGCTTAGCAGGCGCAGGAAGTTCCAGACACCAGAGGGGGTGCGCAGGGGGTGGTTTCTCACCGCGGCCGCTATCCACGACAATGTCGAAATCCCTGCGCCTGCTAGGCTCTTCGAGATTGTCGTGGATAGCGGCCCCGGTGGGAGACCACCCCCTGCGCACCCCCTCTGGTGTCGAGAAATTGCCGCGCTTGCTAGGCTTTTTCGACATTGTCGTGGGTAGCGGCCGCGGTGAGAGACCACCCCCTGCGCACACAGAGCACACACACAAGCAGCGCAGCACAGCACAGCACAGCACAGCACAGCACAGCACAACACAGCACAGCACAGCGCTGGCGTGGCAATTTCTCGACACCAGGGGGGGGTGCGCAGGGGGTGGTCTCTCACCGCGGCCGCTATCCACGACAATGTCGAACAGCCTGGCAGGCGCGGCAATTTCTCGACGCCAGAGGTGGTGCGCAGGGGGTGGTCTCTCACCGCGGCCGCTATCCACGACAATCTCGAAGAGCTTAGCAGGCGCAGGGATTTCGACATTGTCGTGGATAGCGGCCGCGGTCGCTATCCGCATCGGGCTCGCAAAGCGTGGCAGGCGTGACGCTTCTTCGACGCCGCAATGGGGTGCGCTGGGACTACGTTCGCTATCCGTTTCGGGCTCGCAAGGCGTGGCAGACGCGGTACTTTCTCGATGCCACAGGGGGTGCGCCAGGGGTACGGTCGCTATCCGTTTCGGCTTCGCAAAGCGTGGCAGGCGTGGCAGTTTCTCGACGCCACAAGGGGGTGCCTTGGGGGTGCGGTCGCTATCTGTTTCGGGCTCGCAAAGTGTGGCTGGCGCGGCGCTTCTCCTTTTCCACCTCTCCTCTTGAGTGGCGTCACCAACGGTATCGGCGGGGCAACGGCCACCAACATCATTTTCACATGCTTCACTTCAGCTATCATCACTCCAGCCATCATATAAGTATGTGGGGTTCCTCGGTAGCGTAATTATCGTCGTCGTCGTCGTCGTCGTCGTCGTCGTCGTCGTCGTCGTCGTCGTCGTCAGTAGTCGTCGTCGTCAACGTCGTCGTCGTCGTCGTTGTCGTCGTCGTCGTCGTCGTCGTCACCGTCGATCGGCCATCGTTGTCTTTGTCGTCTTTGTCGTTTTTGTTGTCTTTGTCGTCGTCGCCGTCGTCGTCGTTGTCGTCATCGTCGTCAGCCGTCGTCAATCGTCGTCGTCGTCGCCGTCGTCGTCGTCGTCGTCGTCGTCGTCGTCGTCTTCGTCGTCGCTGTCGTCGTCGTCGTCGTCGTCGTCGTCCTCGTTGTCAATCGTCGTCGTCGTATTCCTCGTCGTCGTCGTCGTCGTCGTGGTCGTCATCATCGTCGTCGTCGTCGTCGTCATCAGTAGTCGTCGTCGTCAACGTCGTCGTCGTCGTCGTCGTATTCGTGGTCGTCGTTGTATTCGTGTCGTCGTTGTCGTAGTCGTCGTTCTCTGACTCGTTTCTCACTTTTCCGATGTTCCTTACATTTCGTTCAACACAAAGTTCTCCTTTCTTTCCCCTTCCTCCTCCTCCTCCTCCTCCACCCTGCTGCTGCTCCTTTTCCTCCCCTTCGTTCGGCTTTTTAGTCTCCACCGCCCCTTGCGTCTCTGTCTGTTCGCCTAAGATATTGCTTGGGCGTTTTTGGTTTCCTGGCACAGCTCGAGGGGCCACGCGGGGGCCAGCTATCGGCTATCGGTGTGTCCAGCTGTGCTTCCCTCCCTTTCCGCTTGTTTTTCCTCCTCAATGCCCCCTCCTTCGTCCTCTCTTCCCTGGCCCAGGGCTGGACGATGGACTTTAGTTGTTTCATCGGGCTTCGCCCGTTTTCCGTCCTTCTCCTCCTTCATCCTCTTCCTCCTTCCTCCGCCGTCTCCCCCTGCTCGACTCGGCCCCCAGACCCGCGCCACACTCCGCATCCTCCTCCCGGCGTCACGTCGCTCCCCCCCCCCCGTCGCCCTGCGCTTGCCGCGCGGCGGCCTTCCGCGGCCAAAGGCAGCCAGGCACGCTTCGGACAGGGCCGAGCTGCTGTCGCAGATCAAGCAGGCCCGGCCTCACAAAGACCGCCGCTTCCCCGTGGGTGGGGTTGTCGATCGCTGGCCGCGCTCCAACGCCGCGGCCGCCCTGACCCGGTCTGGCGTCGGTGTGAGACTTGCGTCCTGGTAACAGTCCGGAAAGCGTCGGCGGCGCGCGGCGACGGCGACATCCTCTAGAAGGTCTTGAATGCGTTACTAGATGTTCTCGTCGGCACGGTTGGACGCTGATTCAAAAACGGGCCAGGGTGAACCCCAGGAGGGGCCCCCTGGGACGGCTCTGAGCGGACTTCGGTTGGGGGCGGGGCGAGGGGGACGTGGTGCTCCAAGAGGGCACCCCACCTTTGAGAAGCCCTCATGCATCCGTGGAAGGCCACCGCCCTCGAGTCTGCCCCCGCTGTGCACGCCGTGGGGGACGATACGGGGGGCTATAGAGGAGGTCCAGGGAGGCCTCGGATGCGCTGGGACAGGTGCCCAATGGGGTGTAGCGAGGATCCGAGGCTCTTTTGGAAGCGCCCTCGAGTGGTTTTCGCTGCTGCCAGCTCGCTTACCAGTAGCTTCAGCTGGACCTCTTCCTTCGTCCCGGCCTCCTTCGTATGTCCGTCCTCCGTCCGGAGCTTTTTGGGGAGCTCTTCTGGCTTCCGGACGTCGCGCCGTCGAAGGCTCTCGGGCTCGAGCCGCCCTGGCAGTTCATACTTAGGTTCCCTGCTCGAGTGGCCCCAGTTTGGGGCGGGGCGCTCTGGTGGTGAGTCCGGCGCGGCCTCAAGGGCGGGAAGAGGAGGAGGAAGACTCGCCGTCAAACAAACGGGCTTTGATGGAAACGGGTCCTGAGTTTTTGTCGCCGTTTTGGGCCTCAGGGGGCCCTCCGCGGGCCTCAGGACCGTCAGAACATTAGTCAGGACACAGAGCTCTCACCAGAGCAAGGCCCGGGGGGGCCAGGTCCCGTCTCCCTCAGGCCCTGTTTGCTTCATGACAACATGATGGGCGAGGATGGAGGGCGAGTGGATGAGTCACGAGGCGGAGGAGCTCGAAGCTTCCCCTTCCATCTTCCATTTCCATCCCAATTTGCTTCTCGTTCTCCTCCCCCTTGCCCTGCCCTCCCGCCCTCCACCTCCGCGCATTATCTGACCGCCCCCCCTCCCCTCCCGTCCCCATCCTCGACCCGTTGCTCCTAGTTGGTGCCTAGCTCACAAGAAGTCGCCGAGAGGAGAGAGGTGCGCCACTCCGACCATTCTGCAAAGCGAGGGTGCGGAGTGAGCGTCAGGGCGAGGAAAGGGAGACTAACCGCGACTAGCCATGATGTTGCTGCTTCTTCTTCTTCTGATGATGATGATGCTGATGATGCTGATGATGATGATGATGATTACGATTGTGAGAACGTTGGTGATGAGAGCAACGGCACTGACTATGACGATGACGATGACGATGACGATGACGATAACGACGACGACGACAACGTCAACGACAACGACGACGACGATGATGATTGTGCTGCTGCTGATGATGATAATGATGAGGATGAGGATGAGGATGAGGATGATGATGATGATGATGATGATGATGATGATGATGATGATGATGATGATGATGATGATGATTATTATGATGATGCTGATGCTGATAAGGCTGATGATGATGCTGATGATGATGATGCTGCTGATGATGATGATGCTGATGCTGATGATGCTGATGATGAGGATGATGATGATGATGATGCTGATGATGATGATGATGATGATGATGATGATGGTGGTGGTGGTGGTGGCGATGCTGATGATGATTACGACGCTGTTGCTGATGCTGATGATACTGCTGCTGTTGATGATGATTGGGGTGCGTGCACGGGCATGATTAGCGGGGAGCGAGGTGTCGTTGTCTTGCATGCCTTCAGGCCTTGTCTTGCGACCGCAGCCCTTTTTGGTTCGAGGGGGACATGCTGGCGCATGCCCCGCCGAACCTCCCTCTTTGGGTGATTCTCCGGTTGTAGCTCACGCAGATCTGTAAGGAACACCTCTCCCGCGAGGAGTGGGAGCGCGCGCTGGAGGCCGACCGCAACCGGTCGGCGAGCGGGCTGCCGCCCCCCCCCCCCCCCGCCTGGGTGGGGGGCCATCAGCTCGGAGCCGAGCTCCCCCATCGCCGAGCCGCTGGTCTGCCCCGTGGAGGGGCAGGGCGGCTGGCAGCCACCGGCCTGGTCAGAGCCGCCGGTGTGGTGGCTGGGCCAGCTGATCGGTGGAGCGCTGTGGCGGGTGCATCGCGAGCGCCGACGTGCAGCTCCAGCTGAGGCCTCCGAGGATGGCCCACGCGCTCGTGCCGCGGCGCTTCGCCGCAGGGGGGCAGGAGCTCTGGACCAAGGCTGATGTGGGCTCTCGGGTCCGTGTCAGCCACAGCGACGACGACGTGGATCACGAGAGGGTGCTCATCTGGCCTGGACGCCGACTCCGCGGCGATGGAGGAGCCAAGGAGGACGAGGCGTTGTGGTCGGGGCTTTCTCCCGACGGCGACCTCTGGAAGGAACGTCTGGACGGGAGCGACCCGGAGCGTGGACCCAGTGGAGCTCGACCCCTTCCTGATGTGGTCAACCCTGCTCTGGGTGCACGGCGGCTGTATAAGTTCAGAGAGAGAGAGAGAGAGAGAGAGAGACCGAGCTTGGAGCGGGTGCTGGCCCTCTGCAAGGGCTGTCGTGACATCCAGGCGGCGCGCGGGCAGGCCTAGGACGACCGGCCCGACTACGCGCTGGACGAGAGGGGTGGACGACAGGGTCTTCTCCTCTGCTCCGCGGGCTAACAGTGGATCGACCAGCTGTCGCTCCAGTGGGCGAGACCATCTGGATGCTGATGGAGCCTGGAGGCGGGCACGCGGTCGGGGAGGAGGTACAGATGACGCAGGCCGACTTCGTCTCGGGGACGGACGGCCCGAAGTACGAGGTGTGCAGGGTGATGCGCGTGGCTGTCGCAGACGCGCCTCGGCGGGCTAGTGAGTAGGTGGGCCGCCTGCGGCGGGCCGTTGGAACGACCGAGTGGGCCGCCAACCGTGTTGTGGAGGAGGATGTGAAGGAGCATCTCGGTCTGGGAGCTGCTGAAGCAGGCGACTGTCAGCGTGGTCGGGTTGACCGCATGCCGTCTAGCTCCGCGGACGACATCAGGACGCTGAGCGTGGACTTCGACGGACGTGGTGAACGTCATAAAGACTGGCGCAGCGTGGTCAGCGAGATCACCGCGGAGTCAGTCGTTCACAGACGATACCATCGACGGGCCTGTCTCGGTGGTGTTCCTCGCGGCCATGTGCAAGAATGGCGGGGGCCCGCTGCGCTGGCTGGCCGAGTGGAGCCGCGAGCGCCGTGTTGAGCGCCAGCACCGCATCTACCATGAGCTCGAGGTGCTCTGCCGCTGCCTGCAGCTGGCTGGCAGCTACGATCAGCTGAACCTAGGCAGGCTCCGATTCATGGAACGGGTAGCCAGGCGGATACAAATCCTTACTGATGCCCATTCCGTTCCACGGGCGCCCGCCAATTGGCGGATGGCTCGATGTATCCCGGGCGAGTATGGGCCAGGAGATGTGGCGGCGCCAGAGCCACGCAGCGTCGGGGCGAAATGGGCGAAGGAGGACGCCGAGTTTTGCAACGCCCGAGTCCGCGGCCTCACTGGCGCCGACAGCTTCAAGCCTGACAAGGGGGACGGGAACGGCGACGCGCAATCGAAGAAGCTTGCGATGCCGCCCAAGAAGTCTCCCGACGCAGACGCGTCGGGGGGCTCGCGATGATGCTTGGCGAGATCGCCGCTGGAGTTGGTCCGGCCAGCGGCGTTGGTGATCCAGGGCCCCCCTGGGCTGCCGCCCAGGGATTGGGCTCGCGACGTCTTCCCGCTGCCAGAGAGGGAGGGGCAGGCGAGCCAGAAGGTGTCGCGGCGGAGTCGCGCTCGTGTTCGACGACGACGACGGCCTCGTGATGCGTTGGCGGGGGCGCCCGCGGGTTTTTCCACGGCGCCCTCGCCAGGCGCGCAGCTCGACGTTCTGCGGCGCATCGATGGGCAGGTGGGCAGCGTCGCGCAGCCGATGCGAGGCGTGGAGCTGCAGCCCCCGCGTTCAGCCCAGCGGGAGTTGATGCGTGGGAGGTCGCCGTACCTTGGCGGCCCCCCTGAGGATGTGTTCGCCCCTTGCCGACCTGCTTCCCGAGAGCATCACCGAGGCGCTCGCGCTTCGTGAACAGCTTCGGGGGCGAGCGCGCCCGTGCGAGCGCATGCTGCGGGACCGTGAGATTGCGCGCCAGGCACTGAAGCGCTGTCCGCGGGTGCCCTTCAGCGAGCCGTCGCTGGTGCGGAGCCGACGGCGGTGCGGGGATTTTGCGAGGGACCTCGCCAAGCGCGGCATGGTGTCGTTCACGCACCAGGTCTCGGAGATGGTGGGGCTGTTCTTCGCGTGGAAGAAAGGGAAGGATATGGCGCGTATGATTCTGGATTGCCGCCGAAGCAATCAATGCCTTGCTGTTGGACCCCCCGTCGGTGCAGCTGTTGACTGCGGAAGGGGCTCCCGGCCGTCGAGCTCGAAGAGATGGGGGGCGCCGAGGGCCATCTGCAAGCCGCCCTTTCAGCAGCGCTCCAAGATGTTGAGTTCTCGGTGGGCGTGGCGGGCGTCGAGGACGCGTTCCTCCGCGTGCGCTTGCCCCCGTGGATGAAGCGGCTCTTCGGGCTGCCCGCCATCAAGGCGGGCGATGTCAGGCCTCGGCGGCGCCGAGGTGGATGGCCGCAGGCTGAGCTGCGACGACTCGATCTGCCCGATCCGTGAGGCGCTGCCGACGGGGTGCACCTGGGGCCTGTACCTGTGCCAGAGCGCGACCGAGCTCCGCTGCCAGTTCGCCTCGAGCCTCCGAGACGGCGCGCTCCCGAGTGACTTGGGGGGTCGGAGGTGCTCGGGGTGGGCGCGGGTTCGGAGCATGTGGAGCGCTGCGAGTGCGTCGACAGCACGGGCGTGATCGGGCAGAGCGGGGGCCGCGTGAGCGACGGCTTGGGCGAGCTGGCGCAGGCGTTCGAGTCCGTGGGCCTGAAGGTGCACGGACGAGAATTTCGGGGCGATCGCATCGAGGTGTTCGGCGCGATTCTGGACGGGCGGAGGCTTCAGACGCAGCCATCGCTGACGAGGCTCTGGAGGGAACGTCAGGTTATCGTCGGTTTGCTTCAGCTTCGGGCTGCTCGAGGCGATGACCTTCGCGTCCTGCTAGGGCGCTGCGCGTGTCAAGGCCTGGTCCATCGCCCCGTGCTTTGCGAATTTTGCGTTTGCAGCTGGTCTGTCACGGGAAGGAATAAAGGGTCAGTTCCGCTATGGAAGATTGTAGTGGATTTTGGCCAGTACCGCCAGTCCGGGGCGCTCCTGATGTGTGTGGAAATGGACGGTGACGACGACAACCGACGACAATACAACGCGATGTGGACGATGATGGTGATGATGATGATGATGATGATGATGATGCTGGTGATGCTGATGATGCTGTTGGTGATGATGACGAGTATGATGATGATGATGATGATGATGGTGATGATGATGATGATGGCTGGCGACGATGATGCTGCTGATGAAGATTTTGATGATTATGAAGGCGATGGTGATGATGATAATGGTGATGATGGAGACGGGCATGACGATGTTGACGATGATGCTGCTGCCGATGATGATGATGGTGATAATGGTGATAATGATGATGCGGATGATGATGATGATGATGATGATGATGATGATGATGATGATGATGATGATGATGCTGATGATGATGATGATGATTATGATGATGATGGTGATGATGGTGATGATGATGATGACGATGATGATGATGGTGATGATGCTGATGATGATGATGATGCTGATGATGATGATGATGATGCTGATGATGATGATGATGCTGATGCTGATGCTGCCGATGATGATGATGATGATGATGATGGTGATGCTGATGATGATGATGCTGATGATGATGCTGATGCTGCTGATGATGATGCTGATGATGATGATGATGATGATGATGATGATGATGATGATGATGACTGTTGTGGTAGTGGTGATTCTGATGCGGCTGCTGATGATGATGATGATGATGATGATGATGATGATGATGAGATGATGATGATGATGATGATGATGATGATGATGATGATGATGCTGATGATGATGATGATGATGATGATGATGATGATGATGATGATGATGATGATGATGATGATGATGGTGATTGTGGGGGTGATGCTGATAGTGGTGGTGGTGATGGCGATGTGGGCGTGGAAAGAGGAGGAGGAGGAGGAGGAGGAGGAGGAAGAGAGGAGGAGAGGAGGAGGAGGAGGAGGAGGAGGAGGAGGAGGAGAGGAGGAGGAGGAGGAGGAGGAGGAGGAGGAGGAGGAGGAGGAGGAGGAGAGGAGGGAGGGAGGAGGGGGAGGAGAGGGAGGAGGGGAGGAGGAGGGAGGAGGAGGAGGAGGAAGGAGGAGGGAGGAGGAGGAGGAGGAGGAGGAGGAGGAGGAGGAGGAGGAGGAGGAGGGGGGGGGGAGGAGGAAGGAGGAGGAGGGGGAGGAGAGGGAGGAGGGAGGAGGAGGAGGGAGGAGGGGGGAGGAGGGAGGAGGGAGGAGGGAGGAGGGAGGAGGGAGGAGGGAGGAGGGAGGAGGGAGAGAGAGGGAGGAGGAGGAGGAGGGAGGAGGGATGGAGGGAGGAGGGAGGAGGGAGGAGGGAGAGGGAGGAGGGAGGAGGGAGGAGGGAGGAGGGAGGAGGGAGGAGGGAGGAGGGAAGGAGGGAGGAGGGAGGAGGGAGGAGGGAGGAGGGGAGGAGGGATGAGGGAGGAGGGAGGAGGAGGGAGGGGAGGAGGGGAGGGGGAGGGGGGAGGGGGGAGGAGGGAGGAGGGAGGAGGGAGGAGGGAGGAGGGGAGGAGGAGGAGGAGGGGGAGAGGAGGAGGGAGGAGGAGAGGGAGGAGGGAGGAGGGAGGGAGGAGGGAGGAGGGAGGAGGGAGGAGGGAGGAGGGAGGAGGGAGGAGGATTTTTGGATTGCGCTGCTGATGAAGCGTATGGCCTGTCAGCTAATTGCGGCGCTGCGGCTAGCAGAGACGGTCAGCACAGTCAGCTCGTGTGGCTATGCTAAACGGCGAGGCTCGCAAACTCTGCACGGGCACCTGAAGTCAAGTTCAGACAGTAACTTGCATCGGCTAGCTAGGGAAAACTGCAAAGGCCAGGGGTCGGCGCCTGAGGTACATCCAGCCATCTGCTACTGCAGCCGGGCACCAGCACAAAGCGTTGTCCTCCAACCAATCCGATAATACCCTACCCCTCGATGCTCACCCAGTCCCATAGTACGGGCTGCGCCAGGCAGCAGGATGCAAGGCAGCGGCGGGGACGCAGAGCGTCCTGAAACTAGGCAGCGAAGAGGTGAGACTTTCAACCGTGGCCAGGAAGAGGCAGCGAAGCGAAGCGGGGCAATCCTGCTCGGTTGCTCTCGGCGTAACCCTGGCAAAGCCCCAGGACAATCACACTCCACAGGGACGAGATCGTCGGGCAAGGTATGATGTCGAAGGGAAGGGGGAGGTCATGACACAGGCAGCAGCACGAGGAAATGAGCTCGGCCCAGCCCTGCTACCCCTTCTGCTGCAAGCGGCGGGGGCGGCCCGATCCCTGCTACCCCTTTCTGCTGCGGGCATGGCAACAAAAGAGAGGCACGGCGGCAGGTTGGCCGCCAGCAGAACCTGGCGGCGGCGGGCGCGCAGAGGGAGACGAAAAGGGGGCCGAACGGTCTTACACGATCCACGTGCCGTGCGTGCGGGCGAGGGAGGTGGCTCTCTCTCGCGCAGGAGCGGGGCCGCGGGGCGGCGTCGGCGGGGCGGTGCCGGCTGGGCGGGCCGCCGCGGGGCGGCGGCGGCGGGGTGGCGCGCGCTCGCTGCTACACTGCCGCGCCGCTCGCCGCTCCGCTCCTCATTCCGCACCTCCTATAAACCTCCCACTTCCCCTCCACATCCTGCAAAATTCACCTGAGGCTGCAAACATCGGATACCCCTGAAGACCGAAGTTGGACGACAGACATCACATCCAAGGTCCAAGAGAGGCAGTCTGCAGCAAAACTGATCACGGTGAAAATCAGAACTACTGTGGCGCGTCTCTTGGAAGTCAGTCGGCTATGGCATAGCAAGCTCATTCAGCGGACGTGATTCCAGCTCGGCTCGAAACTGACGGATGAGCTGGGGGTTATCTGTATACCACCACGGGACTGGCCAAAAACGGGGAGGGCACGCATTAACCATAGCACCAGCCACAGAGCGCTGATCTTGGCAAAACCCGAAACACTGGCAACAGAGGTGGAGAGATCAGGGCGCGGCCACACAAGTACCCCAGGATGTACCTGCGGCCTCCATCCTGACAGCCTGCTCACAAACCAGCAAAAGGCGGGAACCACGGAGTTCCCAAGTTTCTGCCTTGGCTATTCTGCCTTACAGCTGTCTAGTCGTGCGCGTTATCGAACAGCCCGACCCCGAAATCGGGCTGGAAAGTCCAGGGGGCTATTCGCTGAGCGAGGCGAATCCGACGTCGCTCTCTGGCTTGCGTACGCTTGGCAGCAATCAGAGCTCGCATTTCTGGTGTGAGCTCTACGGGCTGTGAAGGTGGCGGAGGGAGCGGAGAGGGGGGAGAGGGTACAAAGGGCGGAGCAGACGAGCCGGGTGGGGGCAACACAGTGCCATCCAGGAATGAGAGCGCATCGGCATATTCCTGTTCCTCTGAGGCCTCGATCG